CTCAGACAGCTCATTGAGCATTTTCATTAGCTCCGATAGGAATAAGATTCCCATTTTGCTTATAGTCATACAAGGAATCGTGGCTCACAAGCCTCTGTGCAACAGGTGGGTAGGACACAAACAGACAGGCATCTGCCCCTGCAACTTCCTGGGCTTGCCGAAAGGATGGATTACAGGAACTTTCAAGCCAGTGCCTTTTCTGTGAACAGTCAGAAGTAAACAGTTGAGAAGTGCCACCAGGAATTCTGGCTGCTTGCCCACAAGCCACTGTATCTCATATCATCACCACATTCAAACACACAAACACAGGGAAGTTGAACAAATACCAGATACATGAGTAATGAATGCAGAGCAAGAGTACAGTTTGCTGGGTTAGCTCTGATTAGTATAAAAACTGAATGAATTTGGACAAGAAGTGTCACCATTTAAATTACTCAGCTAACTCCAGTGCCCACTGCCCATACCCTAACCCTCCCTGCTACAGCTCCCAAATACAGTCGATACTTGGAAGATACCATGGAACAAAAGCCTAATCAGTTATGAACTAGAAATGGATGGTTCTAAGTGACAAATGAAAAATTCTTAACGTGAAGCAAGAGAACATGTTAGATTGCATTGTACTTCCTTGTATATTATTACACATTCTGGAACCCACCCAGCTACTCAACAAAAGCCTATAAAGGATATTTACCTCCACAGAGTCACTGCTAGGCAAGTACTCTACACTCTGAATAATGATTTACTCTATGATTTCTACTCAGCAACCACCAGAGAAGAAGTCAGAGGTGGCATTAGGACCCTGATGACAAGCGCTCTTAACAGAACAATATCACCAGCTCAAATTCAGATGTAGGGGGGTTGGGGTGGAACTTCCAAAAAAATTTAAGGGACATTTGAGCAAAAATTCCTCTGAAGGAACCAACCTCACCCTGACCTTCAAGTCATGTGATCTGAGCTCTCAACTTCCTTAGATATTTTGCAAGTGCCTCCAGGTTGAAAGAGGCTACTTGGAGAGGTGGTGGAACGTCCATCCTTAGACAATTGTAACAGGAGATTAAACAAGCACTAGGCTGGGATGGTGTAGCCCAGGAGGTGCCTATCTTGAGGAGGGGGTGGGGCTAGACGAACTCCTGAGGGCCTTTGCAGCCCTACTTTTCTATGATTCAACCTTATGGACAGTCAGACCCCACTTTCGATGCACTGCATTAATGCCAGCCCCTATTTACTGCAATGCAGTGAAACTGAACTGGCACAAAACATCCCAGGGTGTGCACGAGTCCCGAGTGCAATTCCTAAATCTTTGACACGTAGTACAAATATTACCTGGTATACTAAGAGGATCACTCCCATTATCCTTAGTGGGGAAACTGGCAGAGAGGCTGCATGGCAATTTGGGGAATCCCTTTACAAACTGCCTACATGTTCTGGCTGATGTCAGGAAAATCCCCGAATCCAGGAAGGGAAGCTTATGTCATGGGTGACCACAGCTGCAGCCCAATCCTCTCGGACCAGGAACATGAGCAAAAGCTCAGCTGTTGCCCATTCAGGAGAAAAAGCATCTTGGAACAAGAAGGAAGCTGAAGTTGAAGATGCAAGTACAGAATGGAAATTCCCCAAATGCACAAGAAACTGAACTGGCAAGGCTGCTTTTTAGACGCCACAGAGGTGACGCACCCTCCCAAGAACCTGGGTAAACATTTAGTGATTAGCTGGTGACGCCGCTGTGGCAGCAACACCATAACCAGTACGTTGCCTGGCTGAATACCAGCTCAGGTACGTCAGCACCAGCTGCGGTCACACCTCCGACTGTGGCCCAGACTTCCCCACAGGCCTGAGGAAGAGGTGAATCCAGCAGCTCTGCAGAAAGCAGGGCGGGTACAAAACCTGAGTTTGCATTCACCTTGCTAACCCATGGACCCTCGATTCACTCAAGGCGCTCTGTGAAGACTGTCACGGCAGGCACGTCCTGCTCACCGAGTTATCCGGGGTAGGGGGGAAGTCTTTAACTAAGACCCACACTTGTTTGAAGAGTTA